AATTCGCCAATGGAGTTTCCGCTTTTTTATTTATTGAAGGCTATAGTTGTCCGTATGAAAAAATGTGGGTTATTTTAGAAAAGATTTAGTTTTTTGGAGGTATTTTAGAGATTTTTCCATTAAAAAAAACGATTGTATAAATAAGAAAAAATAACATGTGATCAAAGGATTGTAAAGAATTACCAGCCTATCATTAAATGAAAAATGAGTTTCAGAAGATTAAAGATCATAATAAAATCAAGGACAATTAAATTTTGTGAATAAAATAGATATAAGTTGCTTCACATTTAAATCATCTAAGAAAAAATTTACTTTTTATAGTAGTTTAATAATCTATTTTTAATTTTTTAATAAAATTTTTAAAACTTCAAGATAACTTTAAAAGAAATGAATAGTCATAATGCTTAAGAGTTACCACGATAAAATACATAAATTAAATGTTCTATATCTTTACAAATTATTATAATTTTATATTGTATAAATTAATAATTACCATAAATAATCATGCTTTAATCTAATTACAAATTTATCCTTTTCGTCATAACTCAAATATTTTAATTTTAGTTCTTGATCTTAAAAATATTTGCAAATAAATAATTACCAAATTATTAAATTTGACATCTATAATTTTCAAGAAATACATAATTTTTATTAAAAATTTTCATTTTATAATTTATAGATTTGACTTTTTGGACTGAATGATCTCTATCCATATGTGGATCAGCCAGATGAGTTTAAAATTTTCTTCATAATTTTATAAGTAATTCATATGCTTCATCTAAATGATCCATCAAAATGAATCGGTTGATGCAATTAAACAAATATCATATTATTGCTTCATCTTGCTTCAATTGGATGGATCATCGAGATGAGCAAACATCCTAAGTTTGAATAAGAAGTTTTTGAAACTTTTGTAATTGTCAAATTGGTTTAGTCAAGAATAAGTAAGTGTTAAAACAGCTCAAACTATTTTTTTTTAATCTAAAAGAAGTTTAGTCTTAATTTGTTTATGTTAAGGTTGGAAACTTTTATTCCACCTCTGATGAATATGTCGGCTGACTCTCTAGCAAAATCTGCTCTTCAGGAACTCATGCAATAGTGTAACTCTTTCAAGTTTAAATGTAATTGCATGTCGTTCAAAACAAAAACAAAGAGGAATAAGAGGAACGAGTAGAAAAGAGACGTGCGGAACTGACCTATGAGACTACATCAACCATTTTCTAATAGGGAAATTAGGTGGAAGAACATGATTCAGAGCTTTTATTTGCACCATTATAATGTTTATTTTACTCCTTGAGAAATTACCCCAAAATTCTTCAGACATGGGGACCATTAGTTACATTCCTCAGTTTTTTTCTCTTAACTTTTCTCTCTTGTCTCAACGTTATCTCTTCCAGAAAATGTTCTTTTTAGCTTTTCTCTTTTCAGAAAAAGTTAATGTTACTGATTTGATGAAAAAATTATTCACTTACATTTAAACAACTATTTCATTAGTAGTCAACTACTCAATTATATATATAACTATTGTGCTATAATACTTTTTTTTTCATTATGTATATAGTGATTTGATGATAAATTAGTCGTCTATATATTTATACGACTATTTCGTGAGTAGTCACCTACTCAAATACCTACATAACTATGGTGCTTTAAGGCTTCAATAATTTTTTCTTATATGTTTATCGTGAGGGATTTGTTGATAAATTAGTTGTCTACATTTAAACGACTATTTTTTGTCAATAGTCATGTACTCGAGTACCTACATATGTATGGTTATTTTTTATCACAGCCATATACTCGAATACCTATATAAATATGATGCTTTAGTGGTTCAAAATTTTGTTTTTAATGTGCCTATCGTTAGTGATTTGTATCTACATTTATACGATTATTTTGTCCGTAGTCACCTACTCGAATACCTTCATAAATATGGTGCTTCAATGCTTCAATTTTTTTTTTTATCTCATAAGCTTATTGTTAGTGATTTGATGATAAGTTAGTCATCTATATTTATACGACTACTTTTTGTTAGTAGTCACCTACTCGAATACCAACATAGTTATGATGTCTTAATGCTTCAATTTTTTTTATGTGGGTATTATGAGTGATTTGATGATGAATTAGTCATCAACATTTAGGTGACTATTTCATCAGTAGTCAGATATTTGAGCACCTACATTAGCATATGTATTTTAAAAACAAAATATCTTATGTGTATATATTAAAAACAATAATAATAATAAATATAACTAATAAAAACATAAAATCATATTTTCCCACATCAAACGTAAGTATTTTAAAAACAAAATTTCTTATGTGTATATATTATAGCATAAGCATTAGCATAAGTATTTTAAAAACAAAATTTCTACATTTAGACGACTATTTATTCAGTAGTCATATACTCGAGCACCTATATTAGCATAACTATGATGCTTTATTGTTTCAAAAAAACTACTCGAACATCTACATTGTCGTAATAGTCATTTGATTTTTTAATGAAGCAAAAAAATAGTCATATGTTTTAACTGTCATGATAGTCATCTATTTTGTTAAGAGAGAAAAAATAGATATTTTTTGTCTTTCAGTGGCAGAAGAATGAGAAAATGTTGCAGTTTTTACATATTAATGTGCAAGGGGTTTTTCGATATTTTTGCACCTTTTTGACAGTGGACTACTGTCATTTACCTAATTGACTACTTTTCTATGGTAGATAACTAATTTTTTTTTAGAAACTATTATTCTTGCAAATCACCATTTTTAATATTGTACATAAAAGTGGGGAAATAACGAACCAACATTCTAAAAATATTCCATTTCAAAATGGTAAGATCATTGAGTCAAAAGGAATGGTAGTATTCAATATATACTTGTATTTCATACTTAGTTATACTCAAATTAGTTTTAAATTGTAAACATATGTACTATCAAATAGTGAATTTAGAATGACATCAACGTTAATATTTTAACTCATCTAAGCTGCATTTGAGAGATTATCGTTTCAACCACACAAATTATCAAATCATTAAAAATATTTAATAACTGCTCTAAACTGACATTACAAAGGAAAAATGTAAGATATTTTAATTTACAGTTTTTACAAGTAATAATTCACTAAAACTATGAACAAGAACTACAAGAATAAATAGATATATATATATATATATATATATATATCACATTTATACTATTAAAACAGATGCAATTTTAGTCTTTGCATCCAAACACTCTTATTTTTTTAAAAAATTTTTGAAAACTATTTTAATAGTAATCCAGTTTGGTTTAATATACAATAAAAATAAATTTTATTTTATTTTTATTTAATTATAAATTATGGATATTAATACGATCAATTTTAGATTTTTTCAATGTAAGTAAAATGCTTACATTCTAATTAAAAAAAATCACAAAAATTAATTGTTATTAACTATTTTTAAAAATAATTACTAGATTCTAATTAGAAATAATTTAACTCTTCAAAATTAAATAATACTTTCACAATAGCGCAAATGATAAATAAATATGTTATTATATTTATTTTATCATAATCAATCAGCTTATAAATTTTAAATATTCAAAATTAGTAAATACTTATTTTATATAGTACTATGATAAGACATATTAGGGTTATGTTTTCATAAATGCGTAATTTACCGATAGGTTTGACAAAATTTACAAAATTATTGGTTAATTCAAAGCAGATTAGAGAACAAATTAACCCATTTGAACAATAGTAAATATATAGATTGGTTGTGTGGTGATATAAATTCACATAATAAGAAAGTTTACAATTAAAATTATACTGATATATACTATACTAACTCGTACACTTATTATTCTAATATATAACATATGGTAACTTTATAAATTTATAATTTTCTTAGATAACAAAAGTTCCTATCATTTAAGGAATGAAAAATTTCATTGTAGTTTTTAAAATATTTTTGTTAGTGTTTAGATTACCTAAAGATTTTTTTATTCAATATAAATTTTAATGTATAATAAATTATTGTCCCACACAATGCATATTAGAACTGGATAGCGCCAATTAGAAATATGGTATAAATATTGAAACACATATTACACAACAAATCAACACAAATATCATTTTCTCACCAAAAACATAACAACCAAAAAAATCAACATCTTTGAATCAATAATACTTCAATTAGTTCTTATTTCTCATTTCTAATTTGTAGTTTGAAAAATTCAGTCTACAAAAATTTTTACGTAATTTATATATTTCAAAATCTAGTTGACAAAAAAATTTATTTTGCGTTCACGCGTGGTTTAGATTCTAATCTAGAATGAATTAATGATATTTTATCTGTTAGTTTCATATTTTGACAGGTAATCTTAACTTATCAATGGTATAATTGCTTTGCTAGTATGTTTAAGTTATGAGATTTTCGCTCAATGAAATATAGAATAAATCAAACAAAAAATAAATTTGATTCGTTTTTATAATATGGATATATGTGTATATTTTTATTTTTATTTTTATATAAATAAATTTAAAAAATCAAAATCAAAAATTTAACCAATGGTCCTAACATATTTTTTCATTCATAAAAACAGGGAGTATCAAACATCCGGACCAAAAATGCATTGGTTTTAAAGAATATCATATTTTTTTGAAATATATCAAATGACATGCACAAACTAGCTTAACTTATGTTATAACAAGATTATTGTCGATTTCTAGTGAACGTATTTGTTTTACATGTTAGCTAAAGATCTGAAGTTAAAGTTTGATATTTTGCTCAAGGTCTTACTTATAACAAAGGAAAATGTATTGCTATATGATCAAAACTCAAGAGAGTAAATTGCAAAATAATAAACTGGACACATCTAAATATTTATAAATTTATAATATATTTTAAAGGTGTTCCATTTTGAGAAACAATGACAGAAACTTTCATCACTTAAAAAAACAAAACTCAGCAAAAAATGAAACATAAAATTAAGAAAAGGAAATGGGTTATTCAAATATATAATTTTTAAGGACCATGCTTCTCCATATGGAAAAAAGACCTCGGCACGAATTTGTTTTTGTTCATGTTATCAGTGCCCGAAGATCCTCTGCTTCCACTAGTGCTAGCATTATGATTCGTGTTCATATTATTGTTGCAGCTCTGGTTCTGCACGTCTTGATTGATGCAGTAATTGTTACAATTATTTACTTGACCACAAATTGGTTGGTTTATCAAAAGATTACCAATCAAAGCATTGGATTCAATATCACAATAATCTTGGTAAAACGATCCATCAAAGAAATCTAAACAATCCAATGGTGGAAAACTTTGAACTGGAAGCACCATATCACCATGAATTTCAGGTAAAGAACTGAAATGGTTCCCAACGGGAACAACAGTAGAAGAAGAATCAGAAGTTCCAGTAAACTCATTGGTTTCTTGAACATGTAAGAAAGGTTGGTGGTGATTAACTTGTTGGATCTCAACAGAAACTACCTGAGAAACGGAAGGTTGATTTATCTTTGGACGCTTGGTTTTACGGCCACTTCCACCAATCGGTATGTCTCTTAGCGTTCCACCATGAGTCCAGTGTCGGCGACAGTTTTTGCAAATGTAGCGCGGTTGAGACACCCTATAGTTGTTGTAATAACCGAACTTGGTGTTGTCTGAGTTACACCTTGGACAAAAACGTGGTGGAGGCTTCTCTTCATTCACTTGATTGTTTCCTATCGCAAAAATATTTGAGTTCTCCATTTTTCTAGAGAGCTATTTAATCGTTTTTATGGTTTTTTATGTTGTGAGGGTATCTTTTTATATAGGCTCTTGGGAAGCAGAAATTGAATAAGAAATAAGTTTTGGGTTCTAGAAAATGAGTTTGTGAACAAAACGTGGCAAAGATTGTGTATTAATAAAATTTAAAAATCAATCTTCACACTATAAATTTTGGGCTAAGCTTAGTCAACAACTAAGTCTTTTTTACTCTATTGGATGTATATGCAAAATGGAGAATCAAGAAGATACGATTAATGAGCCAACTCTTATAATAAGAACAAAATCTAGGGATAGTTGAGAATATAAGACCAATTTTAGGCCAAAAAATTATAAATTTTATTTGTTTTACTATAAAAAAAAGTTTAAGAAAACATGTGCGTACGTATGATAAATTTTTATTATAAATTTTATTTTTTATGAGATTTGTTTATAATGTAAACTGATAAAAATGGATAGAGCTGAAAGTGTGTAGTAGATTATAATACCCAATATTAAGAAAACTATAAACTCAACCACAATAGGAAATAACATATTTTTTGAAATAGACTAAACACATAAATAGTTTTAGAAAAATTAGAGATTGAGTAGTAATTCATTAAGAGAGAGAGATATGTGGTGAGCACATGTGTTTAATATTTAAAACAGATACCAATAATGAGAAGCAATACTACAAATTTCAATACAAAAACCATATCAAAAAGAGAAGAGACTCAACCAAAACAAAAAAAAAAACTTTTTCCAAATTCTTATTTTATTTTAAAAATTTTCTCTTAAGTTTATTTATCCTTTTCAACTAATTTCTACTTTCAAATTCAACCAGCATTTGGTGTAAAAATTTTTTATTTTTAATATATTTTATATTCAATTCAAAAACAAAAAATATTTAAAACGGAAAAAACATAAAGATAAATAATTTTATGCAGATTTATAGTCACTCATTTTGAATAAAGAAGAAAACATGTATATGTGTGTTAGTAGATATGTTCACAATTGTTTTTCGTGTCACATATGAGAAATGTGTAACAGAAAAACTATGTTGAAGGTTTATAGCGGTGAAAAAGGGTGCGTGAGTATATCATACTAGTAATCCCAAGAAAGCAAGAAACTCATATAGGAAAGTTTCTATATCAAGTAACCAATTTTCCATAAATCTTTTTTAAGGGATTTAATCAAATTTTCTCCTAGTCATGATAGATCTCATAGAGTGTTTAAACTTTAAAGTAGAGAGGGAAGAACAGAATCTTAAATTTAAAAGTCATTTAGCAAACATAACAAGAGGCAAAAAAAGAGAGTCTATACTTGAAAAGGGTTTGCGCCAGAATCTAACAATTGTTCGTTTACCAAACTAGACTAAAATAATTTACAAATATAAAGCTCAAAACGGTCAATAACTATTTCTAACCGATAATAAGTTGTTTATTGGTGAGATGGGATAAAAAGCAAATAAGCAATATTGTAAAATAAAAAAAAAATTAGCCAAACCACACACCATGATAAATAATTTTATGACCTTAGAATACCAAATCTTTAACAGTCGACCAAATCTAAGATTGATGGAAAAAAGAGAGACTTGACATTCTAGACATACCATAGATTTATCTTATATATTCACTAATGCAGCTCACATACATCAAAGCAAGTGTAGTTTCAAAACAGAGTACTTACTGAAAACAGACTTACTTTAAGAGATAAAACACTTGAAACTCGAGGAACACATAAACAGATGTAATCAAAACTTAGTTCTATGTACAAGTTGTATTTTATAGCCGTAGATTTATCTTATTTACATGCTAACACATCTCATATTAATAATGTTCATCTGTTATTTTTAATTGTTAAACCAAATTATCAAATTTATAATTGTGGTTGTTCAATTTACTTTTAATTATGAGACTTCTTTTTTGTTCAACCATTTGTTTCATTCACTTAAACTTCACGAGTACAATAAGAGGGAATGTTACATCCTCGATGATAACTAGCATACAAAATAGAGGAGATTAAACTTAAAACAGATAGAGATTGATAGATTGAACGAATTAGAGGCCAAGCTTGAATGTGTCAGTTGAAACTTCATGGCAAAGCTGGAGTGTCTAAGATTAGTCACTTTACAATGTGACGTAAAAGAAAGTCTCTCATAGAGAGGAAACATGGCGGTAAAATTCTCTCCCTACCCCCCTTTCCAAAAGAGGAAGGTGAAAACGATCTCTTCCAACTGGAGGAAGTTGATCCAAATAGCTTCCCTAGAGGGATTTATTGGAATTGGTCTCTCTGTAGTAACGGAAGAAGGAACCTGAAAGTAAAAGCCGGAGCTATATTTGTCAAACGCTGATGAACTTCTTTTTACTGGGCCTTTTAACAAGAAAAAGCCATTATTGTTAGCAACTATGGACTAAACACCATGAAGTTCCAATTGGGCCAAGTCCACGATGAAGACCAACTTGGGAAATGGTGTCAAGACACCGTGAAAACGTAATGGTAGGGACCGTTCGGCGGTAGCACAGCCAACATCTCTTTCTTGGTGGTCACGTAGTTCCTCTGAGCATCATCCATGGTTCGACTGACATTATAAACTTCATGAAGTTTCTTGTCCTTCTTCTGTCGCAGAGCAGCTCCTACTGCGAAATCACTGACATCACACATCACCTCAAAAGGCAAATTCTAGTCAGGGGGCTGCACAATAGGCGCACTTATTAACACCTGTTTGATCTGTTCGAAAGCAGCAAGACACTTATCTGTGAACTCAAATTTGACGTCCTTACACAGCAGAGCAGTAAGTGGTCTTGCAATCTTGCTGAAATCCTTGATAAATCTTCGCTAAAACCCAGCATGTCCCAAGAAACTCCTTACTAATTTCACAGAATATGGTGGTTACAAGTTCGTCATGACGTCGATCTTTGCGTGATCTACCTCAATCCCAGCTTCTGAAACTTTGTGCCCAAGAACAATCCCGTCTTTGACCATAAAATGACACTTTTCCCAATTAAGGACCAAGTGCTTCTCTTCACATCGAGCTAATACCTTGTAGAGATTGTCCAGACAGTCTTTAAAGGATGATTTGTAAACTGAGAAATTATCCATAAAGACTTCCATAAAATACTCGATCATGTCAGTGAAGCTGGACATCATACATTGCTGGAAAGTGATAACACCGTATTTTGACCACTTTTATGGATCATAATTGTATCTTATACAGGTGTTTTAACTCTGTTTTCAATGGTTTTTAAAGTGTTTTCAATGTCTTAAAGTTTCAAAAGACTTTACAAGAAACTTGGGCAAAAGATATGCAATTTGGAACAAATGAGCAATTTTGGATAAATGCAGACCGTCATAAGTATGACAAGCGATGAAGACCTTCTCACCATCTGATCACCCCCAAAAATTGCGAAAATATAGAGGATCCAACCAGCTTTCTAATGCACTTGGTTTGGAGACAATCCAACGGTTAGATCTTCAGATACTCCCGATGCAAGAATGACAGAAAATGCAGTTCCGGAAGAGAGCCATGTGCCGGGACCGCGGCCAACACCTGTTTTCCCACGGGTAAAGCCACCGCGACCGTGGAACTTGGTCGTTCACTTTCCAGACGACTTAATTAAAGCCTATATCAATTCCTTTCGTTATTTTTGCAGAAGCTATAAATACCCTCTTTAGATCATTCTAAAGGGGGAGAACAGAAACTTAGACAACTTAGAGAGAGAGGGATTTTCGTGGGAGCAACCCTAGAGGCCGCCGTCGATCCTGAAGAAGGAGCCGCCGCTGGAGAGCATCATCGCGCCTCCACCTGCAACTCTGTTCTTCGTTTTTCTTCCTTCTTTTATTTAATTTCCTGCACTTTCAATACTCTATGATGCTTTGTTACAATATGTTTGAGTAGTTACCCAGTTGGGTTTAAAGGGATTTTTCAAAGGGAATTTCATGTGTCTTTGCTTATGAATCGATAGATTTAGGATTTATAATCTTCTAGATGTTCTTCGTTTGCCTTTAATCTTACTGCGTGATTCTCTGCTGGCCACTTAGAAGCCGATCTGATATGATATGTTGCGAAAGCTTTCATTGATTGTCTGAACTAGGGTGAAACGAGCAATAATTCTTTAGGAGTGGAAACCTACCTATAGTTGAGTTGTGAATGTTGATGAGTCTTGTTCTACTATTGCATCTTCTCCCTTCTAGGATCAGAGTGGAAACCTACTGATCAGGGTTGCGAGAGATAGTTGTTTAGTGCTGCGAAAGTAGGCTATTCATACTTCCGTGCCTCGAGTTCTAGAACATACGTAGTTGATTACCTTTATCATATGTTTAAAATCGACATAGCTTAGTCCATGAACCCCTGCGAATTCCCCTTGATGCCCAATGTTTGTCTTTCATTGCTTACAACCTTCGATTTCCATTCTGCTTTAATTCGCTTGTTACTTGCTTTCATTCATAACCGATTTTTACTTGCTTGCACTTGCTTTCGTTTTATTTTCTTTTACTTGTTTAGCTTTCTAGTTTAGATTTAGTGACAACCAAAACCCAAAACCAAAACCCAAATTGTTTAGTTCTAGTCTGATTTAAGCATTGCCGTGAATTCGTACTGAAACAGCCAAGTCTCTGTGGATCGATATCCTAAGTACTACAGCGCACATCTGTGCACTTGCAGACATTTAGGGGTTATAAATTTAAAACCTGAAGCTTAGTAAAACGAAAACAGCAAACCCCGCTTTTTCTCGACATCAAGTTTTTGGCGCCGTTGCCGAGGACTTTGATTTGTTTTGTTGTGAATCCCAGCTTAAATCCATTAGAACACTTGTTTACTTTTACTTTTTCTTTTGATTTGTTTTCAGGTTTCTCTGTGATGAGAGACCGGGAACATGTTCCCGGAACTCTTGGTGATCCACCATATCGTGTGGATGGTGATCCAAGCGATGATGACCTGACTGATGATGAGTTTGAAGAACCGATCTATGATGACAATGAACTGATCGGATCGACAAAACGTGAAG